AGGAATCATACTCGTTCCCTTTTACTGTAAAAATCTCATCTTCCTTTGCTTTATCCTTCACAGACTGCTGCTGTACTCCAGCGACGGCAGATGAGGATTCCTCCCTTGTTACAAAAGAACTGGATTAAGGTATCCAAGAGGTAGTGGAGTCAGAGCCACAAGGAACACACTGACTTGAGGGTAAATATTGGGGGCTGCATCAAGGTTCCTTCCTACCTGACAAAGGTATTTGGGACCTCTCATCCCCTACATCCCTTCCTCTCTGAAGTTTGTGAGACATTGGCCTGCTGACATATACATTCACTGGCCACTTTATTAGGTACACCTTGCTAGTACCAGGTTGGACCTCCCTTTGGCCTTCAGAACTGCCTTAATTTTAAATAGAATAGACTCAACAAGGTGTTGGAAACATTTCTCAGAGATTTTGGTGCATATTGACATGACAGCATCACATAGGTGCTGCAGATTTGTCACATCCATGATGCAAATTTCCCGTGCCACCACATCCCAAAGGTGCTCTATTAAATTAAGATCTGGTGACTGTGGAGGCCATTGGAGTATAGTGAAATCATTGTCATGTTCAATAAACCAGTTTGAGAGGATTTGAGCTTTGTGACGTGGTGCATTATCCTGCTGGAAGTAGTCATCAGATGGATACACTATTCATAAAGGGATGAACTTGGTCAGCAACACTACTCAGGTAGGCCGTGGCATTTAAACGATGCTCAGCTGGTACTAAGGGGCTCAAAGGTTGCCAAGAAAATATCCCCCACACGATTACACCACCAGCTTAAACTGTTAATACAAGGCAGGATGGATCCATGCTTTCATGTCGTTTACGCCAAATTCAGACCCTAACATCTTAATGTCGCAGCTGAAATTGATATAATCAGACCAGGCAACATTTCCAATCTTCTATTGTCCAATTTTGGTGAGCATGCGCAAATTGTAGCCTTCTTTTCCTGTTCTTAGCTGACAAGAGTGGCATCCGGTGTGGTCTTCTGCTGCTGTAGCTCATCTGTTTCAAGGTTCCTGTTGTGCGTTCAGAGTTGGTATTCTGTATATGTTGGTTGTTACAAGTGGTTATTTGGGTTACTGTTGCCTTTCTATCATCCCAAACCAGTCTGCCCATTCTCCTCTGACAACAAGGCATTTTCGTCCATACAACTGCTGCTCACTGGATATTTTATCTTTTTTGGACCATTCTCTATAAACTCTAGAGATGTTTGTGTATGAAAATCCCAGTAGATCAGCAGTTTTTTAAATACTCATACCCATACGGCACTAACAACCATGCCCACATTCAAAGTCCCTCTTTCTTTCCAATTCTGATGCTCGGTTTGAATTTCAGCAAGTCACCTTCGCCATGTCTAGATGCCTAAATGCATTCAGCTGCTGCCATGTGATTGGCTGGTTATCAATTTGTGCTACCAGGCAATTGAACAGGTGCACCTAATAAAGAGGCCATGAGTGTATATAAGGACCCTTGCTGGACACAGTCATCCCAGTAAGCCAAGAGGGCATTGTGCCAGGAAACAATAATGATGGTTACCCCAGGAGATTGACTACTCCATATCATCCAGTGATCTACTTCCCCCAGAAGGAAAAACGTGTGTGAGTGGCCCCTAGAATACTTTTTGTAACCAGTAATCCCACTAGGAAGGTACTGCCGAGTCCTGTAGTCCCACAAGGAAGAGTCCAATGCTGACCAGTAACCTTACAGGGCGCCCCTGCCTTGCCCAGTGCAGGTCTTGATACCATTACTCTGGGCGTTAAATAGCGAAAAAAAGTGAAGTCTTGTCTTTCCAGGTTTTTAGCTAGTGTCCAGTCACCTTAAGGTGGCATTATAACTTGATCGTAATGGATATGAAATGGATCTGTGTCTTGTGATGTACGATAAAGAGATATTATGGGGGTTTTTTTCTTGGGTTTAGATACATTTTAAATGCGAACTATAGTAATTTATATATACAGATCCTTGTGTATACTCTCACGGCACAAGAAGAGACCTCTTAGGTGCTGCTGATTAAGGTTTTACAGCTTGCCCACCACCCCATAGCAGAAATACTGCTACAGGCCAGCAGGGCTACGCAAAATCACACATATATATATATATATATATATATATACAGTCAGGTCCATAAATATTGGGACATCAACACAATTCTAACATTTTTGGCTCTATACACCACCACAATGGATTTGAAATTAAACGAACAAGATGTGCTTTAACTGCAGACTGGCAGCTTTAATTTGAGGGTATTTACATCCAAATCAGGTGAACGGTGTAGGAATTACAACAGTTTGCATATGTGCCTCCCACTTGTTAAGGGACCAAAAGTAATGGGACAATTGGCTTCTCAGCTGTTCCATGGCCAGGTGTGTGGTATTCCCTCATTATCCCAATTACAATGAGCAGATAAAAGGTCCACAGTTCATTTCAAGTGTGCTATTTGCATTTGGAATCTGTTGCTGTCAACTCTCAAGATGAGATCCAAAGAGCTGTCACTATCAGTGAAGCAAGCCATAATTAGGCTGAAAAAACAAAACAAACCCATCAGGGAGAGATAGCAAAAACATTAGGCGTGGCCAAAACAACTGTTTGGAACATTCTTAAAAAGAAGGAACGCACTTGTGAGCTCAGCAACACCGAAAGACCCGGAAGACCACGGAAAACAACTGTGGTGGATGACCGAAGAATTCTTTCCCTGGTGAAGAAAACACCCTTCACAATAGTTGGCTAGATCAAGAACACTCTCCAGGAGGTAGGTGTATGTGTGTCAAAGTCAACAATCAAGAGAAGACTTCACCAGAGTGAATACAGAGGGTTCACCACAAGATGTAAACCATTGGTGAGCCTCAAAAACAGGAAGGCCAGATTAGAGTTTGCCAAACGACATCTAAAAAAGCCTTCACAGTTCTGGAACAACATCCTATGGACAGATGAGACCAAGATCAACTTGTACCAGAGTGATGGGAAGAGAAGAGTATGGAGAAGGAAAGGAACTGCTCATGATCCCAAGCATACCACCTCATCAGTGAAGCATGGTGGTGGTAGTGTCATGGCGTGGGCATGTATGGCTGCCAATGGAACTGGTTCTCTTATATTTATTGATGATGTGACTGCTGACAAAAGCAGCAGGATGAATTCTGAAGTGTTTCGGGCAATATTATCTGCTCATATTCAGCCAAATGCTTCAGAACTCATTGGATGCCGCTTCACAGTGCAGATGGACAATGACCCAAAGCATACTGCAAAAGCAACCAAAGAGTTTTTTAAGGGAAAGAAGTGGAATGTTATGCAATGGCCAAGTCAATCACCTGACCTGAATCCGATTGAGCATGCATTTCACTTGCTGAAGACAAAACTGAAGGGAAAATGCCCCAAGAACAAGCAGGAACTGAAGACAGTTGCAGTAGATTCCTGGCAGAGCATCACCAGGGATGAACCCAGCAACTGGTGATGTCTATGCATTCCAGACTTCAGGCTGTAATTGACTGCAAAGGATTTGCAACCAAGTATTAAAAAGTGAAAGTTTGATTTATGATTATTATTCTGTCCCATTACTTTTGGTCCCATAACATGTGGGAGGCACATATGCAAACTGTTGTAATTCCTACACCGTTCACCTGATGTGGATGTAAATACCCTCAAATTAAAGCTGACAGTCTGCAGTTAAAGCACATCTTGTTTGTTTCATTTCAAATCCATTGTGGTGGTGTATAGAGCCAAAAATGTTAGAATTGTGTCAATGTCCCAATATTTATGGACCTGACTGTATGTATGTATATGTGTGATTTGCATTTTTGGGTAGGGGGTGCACACACTGCCCTACCCACACCGCCATTGGCAGCTAGTGATGTCAATCACCGGGTCCCGGGCAAAGATTCCTCGCTGGCACCTGTCAATCGTCGGGGAAAGCTGACAGAGGAGAGGCCTGTGTATAAACACAGGTCTCTCTCCTGTCAGCATGGAAATGCTGTGTTTGTATCTCTCAGCACAGCAGAGAGGTACAAAACAACACATCTCCAAAGTAAAACAGACACACACACAGTAAAACAGGCACACAGCACACAGTTGACCCTTTGATCACCCCAGATGTTAACCCCTTCCTGCCCAGTGTCATTAGTACAGTGTCAGTGCTTTTTGTTAGCACTGATCACTGTATTAGTGCAACTGGGGATGTCAGTGGCATGTATTGGGATTTATTTTAGCAAAGACATGTAGCAGAATACATTTTGGCTCAAATTTATGAAAAAAATTGATTTTTTTAAAATTTTTGTACTGGATATGTTTTATAGCAAAAAGTCAAAAATATTGAGTTTTTTTTTTTTTTTTCAAAATTGTCAGTCTCTTTGTTTATAGTGCAAAAAAAAAAAACTGCACAGGTGATCATATAACATCAAAAGAAAGATTTACTTGTGGGGAAAAAAAAAATGACAAAGTTAATTTATGTACAGCGTTGCATGACCACGCAATTGTCAGTTAAAGTAACGCAGCGTCGTATCGCAAAAAAATGGCCTGTCAGGGAGGGGGGGGGGGGGTAAATCCACTGGAGGGCAAGTGGTTAATTTTAAATTCATTCGGTTAATTTTAAATTAATTCTATTTACTTTTGCCAAAATGCATTCAAAAGCAACCATGCATACAGGAGGCACACTTTCAAAAGCTAATTTTAGCCATATTCAGTAGTGTGAGAGATATCTGCCTGCACTAGATTAACTCAACAAAGATGAGCTATAGACACATTGAAAACCTTCCGTAAAAACACAGATCAAGACATAATTTCCACTTTCTACTTTGCCAAAACTAGCCACCAACTGGTTGATTTGCTTGGTACAATCATAAACAGGGCAGTGAAAAAAAAATATAAAATGAACCAAAGAAAGAACAGCATTAACAGTTGAAAACATATTTGAATTAGGAATGGAGCACTTCTTCAAAAATGTCTAGGTACATGATAGAAACAATTACAATAGGAAATGAAACACACAACAAACCTGTTCTAGCCATACTCCAGACTCCTCATCTGGTTCCCACAGGATCATGGTTTTATCCATGGATGCTGATAACAGGCTCATCGGCTGTACTATGCTGCCATCTGGAGGACAAAATACAAAACTGCTATAATACACTTTTAAACAATTTAAAGATACAGCAAGATTTCTGTTATTTTCTAGAGTCATTTCTGCCATAACTTTTAAAGCTGGTGATATATTTTCTGTGTTAAAAATGCATGGGTGCCAAGTTATGTCTTACTGCAACACTTTCAGGCTTTTATTAGTTCATAAAAAGCACACTGTGCTTTTCCTGGCAATATTTTCATCTGGTATAGCTGGCTGAAGGTACTTCCTCACAGTGCAGCTCCTTGCAAAAGTCTCACACCTTGTTAAAGTCTCACACCTTGTTTACAGTGTACAAAATAAGTACTGGGGAAGGGAAGACTGATTTCCTCTAGTACAGAGGTCTCCAAACTTTATAAACAAAGGACCAGTGTACTGGCTTTCAGACTTTAGAGGGGCTGGACTGTGGCCATTGGGAGTAGAAATTGTCCTGCGTCATTGGGAGTAAACAATGCATCTTTGGCATTAGGAGAGGAATAGGGCCCTATTCTTGGTGTAAGTTGGAGAAATAGTGCCCCAGCGTTGGTGTCAATGGGTAGAATAGTGCCCCGTTACTGGTGTCAGTGGGAGGAATAGTGCCCCATGGTTTGTTTCAGTGAGAGGAATAGTGACTGTTATTGATTTCAGTATTAGGAATTATGCCCCCTTGCTGGTGACAGTGGGAGGAATAGTGTATTGTATCAGTGTGAGAAAAAGTGCCCCAAGGGCTGGATAAGGGCAAGCAAAGGGCCACATCCGGTCCTTGGGCTGTAGTTTGGAGACCACCGCTCTAGTCAGCAGAAGGGCAATGATACCACTGCACCTTTCATACCCAGAGACAGTTAGATGGCTGGAGATTAAGTACTGCTTTTTAATGATAAAAGTACAATTTTTAAAAAGTAAAAATATACTCCTGCTTTATTCTATGACATTTTCAGGTATGTATTCATGCAGACTTATTGATAGATTTGCTTTAAATGATATACTCATGCATGCATATTCTGCTATCATCATATATACAACACAGCAGCTATAACATGACTCTTGTACAAGTAATATGAATACACACAACTTCAAAAGGACAACTATACTCTAAGAGCTGAACTTGTTCTTACTGAATAATGTTTAGCACCACAAGCTTGCTTCTACAGTGCATACAAGGCATCTTCATACATTGAGTTTCAAAGCTAAACAAGATTTTAAAAAGGAACTGAACTCTTAAAGCTGTGCCCAAAAAAGGCCGAGCTAGTCACCAGTACTGCCTATGGATTTCCTGCACCTGATCTTTCTTCCCTTAATTAACCACTTGCCTACCAGGCACTTTTACCCCTTTCCTGCCCAGGCCAATTTCCAGCTTTCAGTGCTGTTGCACTTTGAATGACAATCGCAAGGTCATGCAACATTGTACCCATATGAAATAATTTTTTTTTTTTTATTTTTTGCACCATAAACAAAAAGGAGCAAAAAATTTGAAAAAAAAAAATGTTTTTCTTTGTTTCTGTTACAAAAGTTTTCAAACAAGTAATTTTTCTCACTGATGTGCGTTGATGAGGCTGCACTGATGAGGTGCCACTGGTGGGCACTGAGAAGGCACTGATATGCAGCAATGTTGGGCACTGATGGGCTCTGGTGGTTGGCACTGCTTAAAATAATTTATTAAAGAAACAAAAATAGGTAGCATACTCACAATGGACATAATAACACAGGCATGTCAAACTGAACAAAATGTATGATCCAAACAACATCTGAGTCCATACGATGGAACCCTGGATGACCAACTGGTTAACGCGTTTCGAGGACACGACCTCTTCCTCAGAGCCAACACTACAGGAGTCTGCACTTCTCTTTATATAAGTTACTAAATGGTAACGCATTAGCCAGTTGGTCATCCAGGGTTCCATCGTAATTTTTGTTTCTGGATCTAATGTTTCATTATTTTAAACAATAATACACTAGGTCAGTGTGCCCTTTAATAAATTATTTTTTTTCTGTTTCTTTTTCTGTTTCTCCATTTGTATCCAGTGTATTCGGACCACCCCGGTCTGTTGAGGGCAGCAAGCAGTGCATATTCCAGAAAATTCCAGAACATTCCTATTGGGTCTACTGTGTCCTTTCCTAGCGCAGGAGTAAAGTGTTTGTTGTGTTGGATTGGCACTGCTGGCAGCACCGATGATCAGGCCACTGATCACCAGTGCCCTGATTATCAGTGCAGATCTGCTCTGTGACATTTGTCGGTTATTCCAGCACTTTCCTCACGTTGTCACGGTATGTAACTATGCATATACCATATCTGGCAAAAGCTCCTGAAAGATGGAAATCACTGCTACATGTAGTCCCTACCCAGCCTCTCCACCTCATCCAATCAGAGAATACTTTGCATTCTCTGAATGGCTCCCATGCCGGGCAGCCAACCTCCTGTGTTCAAAATGCATCAGACTGGCCTCCTGGCATGGGACCTAAATGTAAGTGGAGTTCACTTACCTTAAGAAATTATGGATTTCCAGCTTCCATGAACATCAGCCAGGTATGGTATATACCAGCAGTCTCCAAACTTTATAAACAAAGGTCCAGTTTACTATCCTTCACACTTAAGGGGGGGGCTGTACTGTGGACAGTGGGAGTTGAAAATGGCCTGGCGTAGGTGAGGCAAACAATGCCCCGTCGTTGGTGTCAGTGGAAGGAATAGTGCCCCATCATTGGTGTCAAAGCAAAAAGTGTCCAGAATCCACTGCACTCTTCCACCTTTATTTATTGTAGATAAAATCCATATCACAGGCAGTGTCAGGGACAGAAAGATTAACGCATTTCATGCTGAAAACTAGTGCTTTTTCATAACCACTGTTAGGGAAGGGAATTTGTATTTCTGAAAAACTCTCACAGCCTGAAACACATCCAGACAATGGATGGTAATTTCCTTTTGATAAACAGGAGCTGGAGAGAATAATGATATTCTGATTGAGGTGAAAGGCAGAAACAACCTAAGGCAAGAAGAAAGTCTTTGGCCTGAAAACACTTTGTCCTGATGCAAAACCAGAAAGGGCTCCTTCTAAGATGAAGCCAGTTCAGACACTGGCCTTGCAAAGGTGATGGCTACAAGGAATACTAGCTTGGGTACAGGTAGAAAGAGGTTTAAACAGCAGTTTCTGAAACACAGAGAGCCTGTTTTAGATCCCACTGAGTCAGAGGGGGAATTAACAGGGAAAGCTGCACAGGACACTCTCTGTACAAAGGTCTTAATCAACGAGTGAGAAGCCAAAAGGTCTTTTAAACACAATAAAAGAACAAAAACCTAACCTTTAATAGTGTTGACAGCCAAATGCTGGTCCAGATATAGCTGCTAAATCCCACAGAGAAACTCTTGGGGTAGAAGCCCCAAGACTCACACCAAGTGAAGTATGCCCTCCATGTCCAATGATAGGCACTGCAAGAAGTAGCCTCCCCAGCTTTTAGCATTGTAGGATTTGCAGATTTTAAAATGCCCCAGTTTCTCAAAACCTAAGCATTAACAACCATGCTATTAAAGTCAGCATCCATGAAACAGCATGACAAATTGATCTCTGATGCTGTTGGTGCACTGTCTGGAACGGTACAGGGTGATGAGGATCATCTAAATGCCTTTCATCTCGATCGGACAAGAAAGAGGTTTCAGGGGACGAAAGGCATAGATCAGGGTGTAATGCTTCAATGAAGCCACCAGAGCTTCCACGAGAGCAGGGGTCTCCAAACTTTCTAAACAAAGGGCCCCTTTATTATTCTTCAGAATATAGGAGGGCCAGACTGTGGCCAGTGGGAGTAAAAAATGCCTCCAGCTTAGTTGTCCGTGGGAGTAAAATAAATTACATAGTGCCTGTGGACAACAGGAGGAGGACTAGTGCTGTGTCACTGGTTTCAGTGGGAAGAATGGTGCCCCATCCTTGGTGCCAATGGGAGGAATAGTGCCTCGTCATTGGTATTACTGGGAAGCATAATGCTCCATCATTAATGCCCGTGGGATGACTAGTGCCTCAACGCTGGTCAGTGAAAGGAATGGTGTCCCATCATTGGTGTCAGTGGAAGGAATGGTGCCCCATCATTGGCTTCAGCGGAAGGAATAGTGCCCATCGTTGCTGTCAGTGGAAGGAATAGTGTCCCATCGCTGGTGCCAGTGGTAGGAATAGTGCCCCATCTTTGGTGTCAGTGGGAGGAATATTGCACATTCTCTAGTGTCAGTGAAAGGAATAATGCCCCATCTTTGGTGTCAATGGAAAGAATACATACTGCCCATTCATTGGTGTCAGTGGAAGGAATTGTGTTTCAACGTTTCGAGTAGTGCAAAGAAGTGTGCCCCATCTCTCTGAATGACTCCGCAGAAAATTACTGCCAATTCTTAGAAAACATCCTGGTGTGTTAGCTTTATGAACTGAGCCTATGGCTAACGGAGCCACTTACGGATATAATAGAACATAAAATTCAGATCCTTATTACAGAGCAATCAAACAGGTGAAATAATAATAAATCATTTAATGTTTTAGATCAGCCCTTCTCAACCTTTTTGTCCCAGATGAACCCTTGAAATAACGTTTAGGTCTTGAGGAACTTCTGTTATCACCAATTCATTGGGGATGAGTGAGAAAATGCCCCTTACACTGGTGGCCAGTGGGAAGAATGCCACCCTTATGGACCGCTAAATAGATAGTTGCTGTCATGCTGCTAGCTCTGCCAAGTGGCTTTGGCCCTAAAACTATGCAGGCACCATCAAATGGGAGGCCAATCAGCACAGCTGTAAGCGCTGTGGTAGTTCATTGATTCTTCCTGTCAGTAAGTATTGGGTTGCCCGTACAAGGTAAGAGCAAGCAGATACACTGACAGGTCTGCAGGAGTCCGGCGTAGCATCAGAGATCTGCTGATCGCTGGTGCAATGCCTTACAGGTTCTCACAACAACAAATAATGAATGCACATTTTTTAACCAGCAAAAAAGTATGCATTTATTATTTTTTTGTCAAAAGATGAACTTATCCT